GCTTTAAAAGAGAATAATCCCCCACAGATTCACACATTTGAAGACTTGGGCCCTGGCTAGGGACACTGTTTGTAGAGGTTGTGGAACCTTTAGGAGGTGGAGACTTACTGAAGGAAATACGCCACTGGGGGCAGGTTTTGAGAGTTGATAGCCTTGCTGCACATGAAGTTTTCTCTCTCTGCTTTGTGTTTGCTATTGAAGATGTGATCTCCCACTTTTCTGCGCCACTCACCCACCGCCATGGCCCCTCTGTCATTTTAGATACTCCTTCTGGAACTACAAGCCCAATTAAACCCTTCCTTCTATAAGTTACCTTGGTAATGACGTTTTATCACAACAGTATAAAAGTAACTAATGCAGTAAGCAAGGAGAACATTATTGGGATAGCAGCCCAGAAATATGTTCAGTATTCAGACAAAGTAGACCAAGGTAAGCACTCAGAACAAACCAGAGAGCCATGGGAGGATTCGACTTAACCATTTTTAACAGAATGTCTCTGTAAGGGACTATGTTGTAGAGTGGGAAAACAAAAGCATTTAGATTTGAGCAATTCAAGAGTCATCCACGTGACAAAGCATTAAGAGCATAAACCAGGGTGATGACAGGGAGGCGATGAGAAGTCATGAGGCTCTGGAAATATTTGAAAGGCATCAATGACACCACTCACTCACAGATGTAGATAAGGCATTCAAGGATAGTCTCAAAGGTTTTTGCTACTGTGGTTGTTTTCTTCCCTGAGAAATGGAAGGATAGAGTTGCCATTTCCTGAGCTACAGAGTACCAAAAGATAACACATTTTGAGAGAGAAAGCCATGTTTTGACTATGCTAAGTTTGAGGTGTCCATTAGATATCTCAGTGAAAACGGATACAAAGAAGTTGGATATTCACATCAAATAATTGAGGGATGGTGGTGAATATATACAGGTTCTATTCCAAATTTAATGTATTTAATACAGAAAAGGGGACTGACACTTGATAACTGTGAAATATGTAACTTTTCTGTTTTCAACCATGTTCTTGAGAACTGCTGTATGTGGTTACTCTGATTCTCTTGCGGTAAAAGTCACACACATCACACACACACACACACACACATGCACACACACACACACACACACACACACACACACACACACACACACACACAGGTGTATCGTCTGTAGTTCCAGAAATTTTGACAAATAGATTCTGAAGGATGCCATACCCCGAATATGCTACTTTGGAACAATAATAGGGAGAGATTTCCCCTGAACTTTTCTATTCTGCAGAAAGATATGTCTTCTAAAAGGAACTCATTTGTCATGAGTCACTTCCCTGGTGATCTCATCAACTGTAGCTGACTAGACAGTTATCACTGGAGAGGACCATACAGTGTAGTATCATACCCTGGAGTTTAGGACAAACTGGAGTTTAATGTCATAAAGAGGAAAGTCTTCACTGTCACCACTTTTTCTCAGGACCCATTCACTTTTCTTAAAAAAAAAAAAAAGGATATAGTTGCCTCCATTCACCTTCATCTCCCTTATGATGAGGATAAATAAATTTCTAGATTTCATTGTGCAAGGAGCCTTGCTCCAAATGGGTCCAATGACCTAAGATGGATTTTTGATGCATATTTGACATTCATTTTTCTTTCATGTTGATGCCTTTTTGTACATCAGACATTTTGTATTCATTTTCTTCTGTTAATCTGCCTTCTGTCAGTTTATTTAATAGGCTCAATTACTGAGAGCCCTGAGAGAGTACAGCCAAACTCTTCCCTCTTAAACACATCCCATTTAAGCACAGCTATCTTACAAAGTATCTATTCTAAAAGTATATACTGTCATCTCCACTTTTCCACGTGAGAAAACTGAGGTGGTCGAAGACAAGTAAGAATGACTTGTATTACATCACATAGCTGAAATGTAAATCATTTAAGATTCAAATGAGGATCTATCTCCAAAAACCCACGTTCCCTTCAACTACCTCCAACCACTAAGTGCACCATAGTTACCCCGCTGATCTCTATGTGGATTAACCGTAGTACCAAGTATTTAATACCAGTCCCTGCCAAATTCCTAAGCACATTCTACTCAGTTGGTTTGCCAGGGATTGTCAACATTTTTTGCCTTTGTTTTTTGAGATGTGAATCTTACTATGTTCCCCAGGTTGTCCTTCAATTTCTGGGCTCAAGGTACTCTTTCACTTCAGCCTTCCAAGTAGCTGGGACTACAAACATGCACCACCACATCTGAACTGTCAACTTATTTATAATCTTATTGTTCAGGGGTTGTCAATTCCTAATTTTTTTTAATATTCAGCCAAGATAAACAAACATAGGAAATGAAATTCAGTGGGAAAGGAAGGCCTACAAGGTAACTGAGGGATGCTGTTAAGTGATATAGTGTTTACTTAGCATGTACAAGGTCCTGCACTCAGATCTTAGTATTACTGCTGCTGAGGATGGAATTCAAGACCTTGTGCATGCTAGGCATGTGCTCTATTACTGAGCTACATCCCTAGCCCGTCATGTGGTTTTACATTCTTTGTATCTTTCCATATATGTTATACAGCTCAGGACCCAAAAGGTACTTCTTAAATAGTATTCACAGACATCCCATGAACAAGTTCCCTTCTTTGGAATCCTAGGTAGTCTAGCTCATTGTAGAGAACTTCATGCCCTATTCAGTTACCAAACAATTTTGGTGCCAACTGCATGGTTGGTAGTATGCTACTGTTTGGGAACAGAAATATTGTAAAGGTGTGACTCTTATTGCCAAGAAGCTCAGTTTAGTGGTGAGAAAACCATATGAAACACTCAAAATAGGACATGATACTTGATATCATTAAGGTATGTATGTTCAATGTGCAATGAAAGCATGAAAGAAAATCTGAAGTAAGAGAATATGTACATTGATTCTTGAAGGTTTTGCAGGTGGCAAGTACTTCTAGTGAAAAGTACTAGCTTGGGCTAATGTGCAGAGGGCTGAGAAGAGATAGTGAATTTAGCAATGTGGTAGCATGGCTTTTTTAAAGGGTAGCAAATAATAATGTTGAAATGGCAGATTATATGACAGCCAAGGAGCCCATACCTTGGTATCAGACAAGTAAGATAAATGACCGAGAAGGACAGACCAGAATCCAGGGGTGGCAAGGGTTATGTCGAACTTGATTATTCCTGTTTATCTCAAAGGGACAATTCTAGCTGGATGTAGCCATATGGGCATGTAGGTCCAATGTTAACAGGTTGTGTGATTTTTTTTTTGTTTTTATATTTAGAAAACCAGGAAAGCTGTATTCTAAAAACGTGAAACCTCCAGTTTTCTAAATGCTAGAATTGAATTTCCTTTTTCATTCCAAGTTTTAGCTAATATTATACCAAACAAAACACATTTGTTTGCTGGATGTGGCCTACAGTTTTATCATTTTTAGACCTATGCTGTAGGGGACAGGGCACTATGGAAACAGAAGCAAGCTGAAGCAATGCATCAAAACACACACAGCATATTAATAAAAGGGAGCTTGTGGGCCGGAAGTGTAGCTGAGTGGTAGAATGCCTGCCTAGTGTATATGAGACTTCTAAGTTCAATCCACAGTGCTTCATTAATATAATGATAATTATTATTATAACCACATCTATTTCTCACTGCCCTGGCTCACTGTGATATTTCTGCCTCTCGGAATCAAAATGAGGTCCTAGGTCAAAAGCAATTCTGAAGGCTTCTGAGGGTAATGGTGAAAACAAGGTCTTTCTTGGTTCAGTCATTTCAAGAAGGGCCACAGTGAGATGGCTCGGCTGATAAAAGTGTTTGCTGCTCTACAGTGCAAATCTGATGACCTCACTTTGACACTGGGAACTTACGTAAAGGTGGAGAGTGAAACAGATTCCACAAAGTTCTCCTCTGACCTTCCCATGTGCTCAGTGGCATGTGAGCCCCCCATCTCACACACACACACACACACACACACACACACACACACACACACACACACGTACTTGTACACACACATACACACACTCTAATAGGGATACATTTTAAAAATTTAAAAGCTGAAACCATTTAAAACCCTTGATAATCACCACTACCACCACAACCACCACTACCACCACAACCAGGAGATGGATGTCATTTCTTTCCCTTTCATTTTAGATGAAGATAAAGTAGCCTCTTTAAACTGTATGTGCAATAAATTCAACATAGCCAGTGATGAGACAGATAAGGCACAATGTAATAGCCGGTACAGTTTAAACACTTCATTTTACAGTTGAAGAAACCAAGCCAGTGTTTCCCCACTCCCTTGGAAAAGTACGTTACTTTGCTCAGAGTGACCCAACAAACTAGTGGCAGAGTGAGGCCTTCTGACTTCTGGTCTAGCATTCTTTCCAATAATCCTGGCTGTGATAATTAAGGTAAATCGGCCTGGCGGCTTTCCTAGCATCTAGAATTCCTGGTCTGGACAAGTAGATCTTGAGAGCTGCTGTTGCAAGCCTTTCTTTTCCTCCTTATCTGTGTGATGATGAGGGTTTTTTTTTTTCTTGCAAACTTTCTGTTTCATGGATAAAGGTTAAAAAGAGGACAGAAAGATGTTTTTGAAGCACTGAGACTATTCACAAGGCTGTGAAGGAAAACTTGTCTGGGGCTGATGTATTTAAAGTTTATGACCTCTGGGCTCTATGCACTGACCTCTCCACCAGATGCTTTTGGTTTGTTTTTCTTTTGTCTCCTTTGCTATATTCTTCTGTGTTGTTCTTCTCCCTTATCAGCCTAGGTTTAAGGCCTACCCTTAAGTGCTCTGGGACATCACTGAGCCTTCTCAGTGGCTTTTACTATGCTTGCTTCAGGTCAATAAAATTGCTGATTATTCCTTTCTCAAGTGCATGGAAATGAGAGTGCCTACTGGCTGAAACAGTGCATGCTTGCTCTGCTCCAGCCACTTAACTCTCTAAAATCCGAGACTAGTAACTCTTGTCAACTGTGACTCTTGACAACTAATCTTTTCCATTCTTCATTTCCAGGTCTATTGTTCTGACATTTGCCATTTTTTTCTCTGACCCTGTTCCTGATTGGTGCAGCTGTTGAAGATGCTGCAGTTGCAGCATGTACATCTGGAACATTTGGCTGACTTGTTGAACTTCCCCCAGGGAGTACTCCAGGGGAAGCATGGGAAGGGTGGAGAGGCCAGAACAGTTGCCTGCAAGTAGAGATGCCAATAGTGTCTGGCCATTCTGTGGACCACCCTTGTAAAAATTCACCTCATTGTGACCCTCAGTTTCCCCACCTGCTCATTGAAGGCTCATGTTCTTTCAAAACTTCTGCAGCCCTGGAAGAAGATAAACTTTTGGCTGTGGGTTCTCTCACACAGCACTGTGAAAGGGATCAATGCATATCTGTTGAATGAATTAACATGTCAAGAAATCCTAGGAAACTGTTTTACCCTTCAAGGGACAGCATCACTTCAGCTCCACTTGGCACTAGGCACTTGGCACTAGGCTTTGACTGTGCCCCCAGACTCACTCTGGGAGTGAGACTGCCTGATTCCCAGTCTGTTTGGCTCCCAGACTCCTAGGTCTCCTTTTCTTCTGGCGAGCCATTGAATTGCAAACACAGCAGGCATGGTTTCATTCCAAACCCTGAACTGTTTTAATTAGTTTAACGTCTGTTAAACGCTTTGAAGATTGAAAGCAACAGATAAGTACTGGATGATGTTATTAACAACTGCAGTTAATTGCAAACATTTCTATTAATGCTAGTTTCTGCCTCCTTTTCTTTGCTCCACGTTCTTTCCAAGGTTCCCAAATTCTTCTCAGCCTCCCCCCCTCCTGCCCTCCCCCATAGCGGCGCTGAAGGGTTAAACCAGGGTGGAGTCCAGAGATGAACGACAGCGGCAGTCACCAACTGCAACGGGGCAAGCGGGAAGAGCTGGGTGGGGCTGCCAGGCAGAGGTGAACCCCCACGCCCCCAGGCCCCGCCCCACGGCTGGAGGCCCGAGTGGAAGGCAGGGGGCGGGGCGCCCAGGCCTGGCGGGCTCGTGGTTGGGCGTCCCGGCCGCCCCTTGAGGCATGGGGCGGGGTAGGTGAGGACCTCCTCCCTCATTCCCTCTTGGGCCGAGCCGCCCCTCTCTCCCGCCCCTCCTCCTCCTTTTCCCACCCCTCGGAGTGGAGCTGCACATGCGGCTGCTCCCTGTTCTGTCCCGCCCAGCCACCGTCGCTCAGGAACGGGTCCCTGCAGCCCCCAGCCGATGGCAGGACAGTAGCCGCCTGTCAGGGGTCGTAAAGGGCTGAGGCAGAGGCAGAGGCTCCCGGGCCTCAGATAGTGGCTGTCTCTGGAGGCCATGGGCTACCCCGAGGTAGAGCGCAGGGAACCCCTGCCTGCAGCAGCGCCAAGGGAGCGGGGCAGCCAGGGCTGCGGCTGTCGCGGGGCCCCTGCTCGGGCGGGCGAAGGGAACAGCTGCCGGCTCTTCCTGGGTTTCTTTGGCCTCTCGCTGGCCCTCCACCTGCTGACGCTGTGCTGCTACCTAGAGTTGCGATCCGAATTGCGGCGGGAACGGGGGCACCGAGTCCCGCCTCAGCGGCCCGGGTGCTCCTGGCACCTCTGGCACCCTAAGCAGTCCTGGTAACCTCGACCCTGTGGGTCCCATCACCCGCCACCTCGGGCAGCCGTCCTTTCAACAGCAGCCTTTGGAACCAGGAGAAGATCCACTCCCCCCTGACTCCCAGGACCGGCACCAGGTGAGTCACCTAGGAGGGGCGGCGGCCTTGGAGGCCCCCTCCCCTGCTAGGTTGGGCGGGGGCCTGCGCCGCAGGGCTCGGGGGACTCTGCCACTCAGAGCCAAGTTACAGGGCAGGACCTGGGAGTGGGCCGGAGAGCTAGGGAGAGGTTGTCCAGGGCAGGTTGTCCTCAGTTCCTGTCTTGGCTCATCCAGACCCTCTCGGGTCCCATGGACTTGGAAAGCCCAGCCTGCATGCGCCGCCCCCGGGGGGTGTGGGCTGCTTCGGGAAAAGTTGGCTGGCCTCGCACCCGGGCCGGCAGAGAGGTGCCTGCGCCGCCCCCGTGGCCGTCTAACGGCGAGCAGCTTGGCCCCTGGTGCCCCTGGTGAGGTTCCCTGCCCGCGGTGCTTGTTTCTTCGTGTCCCGAGCTGATGCCAGCACTAGCAGGCTCCTCTTTGGAGTTGGAGCTGTAAACAGCTGTAATAACTGTTCCACGCCCGTCGAAACAACTTTTAACCAACGATACTTTCAGCGCCGGGTTCTTGTGCGCTGACCAGAACGTGAGCTTTTTCACACTTACCTGCAATTTGAGACTGATTGTCCTCGGTGTTCTAGAGAGGATCAGCGCCCCTGAGGAATTCTGGTAGAAATATGCCGTCTTGCTAGACAACTTCTGAACAGCAATTTAAAAAATCTATGGAAATAAAACTCACCCTTTGCATGCCGGTTCTGACACACTTGTTGATGGAGTGGGGTGCAGTGGGTGTGAAGAATTTTCATTATCGCTAGCTTCAGAACAGGAAGTTGGATTTTTGTTTTGTTTTTGGTATTCTTTCAAGTGTTTGTATCCCTTTTAGCAAACCATTAGCTTGGTTGTTTTCCCAACTCTTTCTTCAGGTAAATTCAGTGTACTTGATATTAAGTATTCTCGTGGTTGCCAAAGTTGTCTTACATGTGAGTCTTAGGCAAGGCAACCAAGGATCTTTTTGAGGTGGTTAAAGACTAATGGTTAGTTTGTACCTTTTTGAGACAACGACAGGTTGTGTAAGTAACTTACTTATACAAGGCGAGGCATGGAAGCCTGTATTTGGTGCTACGTTCATAGTCATTGTCACAACTCTTGGAACATTGTGTTACTTTGACCTTCAAAGTTGTACACTTTAGAGCTGTCACATTCATAACAATACTCTGTCAGGACTGACACTTTTCTCTTTTACAGTGTGCTTTGTAAAATTGCCCCAGCCCAAAAATGCCTTTCAAATACACTCCAATTTATATAACAGCTTATCAAAGAAGAGAATCTACAGATGTGCTTCTCATACTTGAAACTTTAAACACGATGGCTGGATGATAATTAATTAGGACTCTGGGTCTTTTATTTATCTCCCTGCTCCTCATCCCCAGTAGAAGTACTTAGCTGCACATTAATATTCTGTAAAAAAGTATCAGAGAATTCAACTTCTTTACTCAAATGGTGGTCAAGGATTTTTGGCATTCGGGGTGGACAGAGTCATGTTTATAGATTGGGGATTAGCAGGCCAGCTGTATTCTAGAGCTTCTGTGATGGCAGGGGACTCTCACAGCTTTGTAATGGCATTTAGTTGCTTATGCTTGTGTAGCACTAAAATACTTAGGAGTTTCAACACAGTTTCTTATCTCTTGTCCTTTAGTCTTTCTTTTTTGGTCCTTTGGGACAGTCAATGATAGTAGCTCTTTACATTTTTTTATATCAACTTGGAATTGAAGTTTTTCAGATTTTTAAGGTACCACCTGAGTCTATTTTATTGATTTCTTTGGAGAACATATAGGCCCCGAGGGAGAAGTAAATGGCCCAGGATATCATAGCTTGAGTCAAAACTAGGATGAATTTGCTCTTTCGTCTTCCAATTTAGTACACATTAACCCATCATATAGTGTCTACGAAAAAGAAAATTTGAGAGGAATGAAGCAACAACAGGTTGGAGCTCCATAGTGGACTTTTTACAAAATGACAGGCTCAGATCTGTGTCATTTTGTTCTGCTCTGACTACATTTTGATCAGACTAAGTTTCATCATATGCTCCTTATTTGTCTTGAACTTCACTTTCAGGAAAATTGAAATGTAAATGAAGAAATTTTAGCTCAGATTCAACTTGTTTCTCTTGAGGATATTAGTTTTAGCCTGTAAATAAACAAATATATGAATAAATAAATAAAGGAAAAGTTGATTGGCTAATCGAGTTAAATTGATGTGCTACATCTTGGGTAGAATTTCTAGTGCCCTGGTGCACCCTCTGCTGGTTTTACAGTGACATTTAATTGTACTATCTGCTGACAGTCAAAATTCTAAGTTGTGCTGACAGATTCTGATTCATAAATAAGGAAGTAAACCGCCTCGTGGGACTGGGCCACATAGGTCATATTTTATATTTTAGTTTTTCAACATAAGCAGCTGCTGTTACAGCAAGTCTTGGACAAAGAGGACCAGAGACAAAAACATGCATCCTCCAGTGGGCAATACATTTGGGTTTCCTAACAGTATATTTAGAAAGAGTGAAGGCAAGCTGGTGACACTAAACTGTGGTGAGCAGAACAGTCAGCGGCATTTCATTATGTAAGGTCATACATATATTTAGGCAAAGGTGAAGTTACCTATACTTATGAGATGATTGGACTGTGGGCTTTCCAATTATGACTCAAGGAAGGACTCTAGAAATCACTGAAGGTGTATGTATAGCATACTGCAATAAAAAAAAACACAACAGGATACAGAAGGAATTCAGGTCATAAAGCAGGAACATCGGCAAATTTCTGCAAGGGCGTTGTTAGAAAAGTAGGGACACAGTTGCTGATCATAAAAAGTGAGAGGTAGCTTCTGGAGTCATGAGCCATCTCCTTTAGCTGAAAGAGATAAGGAGCTGTATCTGGATACTTAGGAAGGATTAGCTTAAGAGCTAGGGATACACCAGTGGTGCCTGAATTTGATAACAAATAATTAAAAACATTAAAAATCACTGGATCACACTATAGAGAAAAAGGTCTGGTCATGATTATATCCCTCAAATGTCAAAAACATGGTGGAAAATCTCAGGAATGTGTCAACAACAAAACAAAACTTTTTTTCCATGAAGAAGATCAAAAGTGAATTTTTGTCTATCATCAGACAGAAAATCCTGGTGGCTGTTCCTCAAGAAAAAGCTAGCAGCCGGTTGATAAAAGTCTCCAGAAACCCAATTAAATTGATCAAAAGGGGAGTTTTCAGTTGTTTTTTTTCAGCCTGGAGAGAGAGAGAGAGAGAGAGAGAGAGAGAGAGAGAGAGAGAGAGAGAGAGAGAGAGAGAGAGAGAGAGAGAGAGGACAGTCTTTCAAATCAGGAGAGAGATGAGTATAGTTAGTATGTTCGTGTAATTTAATGATCTAAGCTGAATAAATAAAATTTTCTCTGTGTTAGATACAGTGTTAAGTATTAGATGTCTTTTAATGTTTGAAAAAGTTATGTCGAGAGAGATAAAGGTAGCATCTCATAATCTAAACTACAGGCAGATCAATAGAAATTTATTCAGGACTGTTGGAGTTGTTTGAGGTACATTCCTAATTATTTGAGGTGATGTCATAGAAGGCAGCTTTAATGTTCTACAGAGATCTTTAGGTATAACTAGATATATCATTAGCATACTAAGATTTGATATTCCTAATAACTAAGTATCATTCTAGGTGATTCATGTTGACCATAACAGAGTCCACGAATTATGGAATCTAGATAAGTTGTTTATGGAGTTTAAATGCAGACTTTTCAATGTGTTCATTAAGGCTTCTGATGAACTGGTTTCATGATATCCCTCTCATTTTCACTCTCACTAATTTCACTCCTGTAAGTCACCCACCAAATTCTCTTTGGGGATTATTCTGTAGCTGTTACTGATTTTCGTCTTAATACATCTGCCTTTACATTAAAGATCATCAGAAATCTACCTTCTGTAGTGTCTTTTATGATTCCTATCAGCACTA